AGTTTAACGTGTACCACCGGTGGTACACATGGCACGGAACGTGTTAAATTTATACGTACGATAAGACATGAAAATAACAATCTGTAGGAATCAAAAGCATAACACATATCAATATTCCGTCGTTGCATGCATCTGTCCAGAAGCATTTACCAAAAAAATTCATCGAATTTACCACAAAAGAAGTCTACGAGAATCGTGGCCATTGTGATACTTCTTCTGCGAACGAATGGCCATTCACGACACGTAATATAGGTCTGGCGTATAGTTACGAAACCGAAGTGAGCAATAACCAATGAAACGAAATCGTCTCGTACTGTTTCGTATTCACGGTGCTTGAACACCATCTCACAAACGTGTGGTCGCATATAAAGACGGATGGCAGACACGAACAAAAGCCAGTCAAATTTTTTTCGGAGCGAAGTTAACAGCGTCGGCCGGCAATAATGTGGAGAACGGTAACGAGACACCGGATTTCGCTATGCACGAGAGGAATGATTAACCATTAATCGTACTTTGATCTCATCGGACACTCGAATCGAGACCGTTCCGTTCGTATATTTGCACCTCGCGTCATTAACCCTTTATGTAACAACGCGTGGCTTCTGAAATTTCCATATCAATTAAACCTATATATACATATATATAAATAAAATTTTTTATTATATATAATATTATATTATATTATAAAATTTTATATATATATATATATATATTTTTTTTTCGAAGTATTCTTTTGTAATTTCAACAGCTTCGTCGTTGCATCGGTCGGTCTATTCGTAGCATAGCAGTGATCAGTGATTTCTGAATTGCTGCTTTGTTGAAATTGTGCGATTTGTTGTTGCGCGAGTATGAAAGACTAGAGAGTTGATATAAAATTAATTAGAATTAAATTTTTGTGATTTATCGTTCACGATTGATCTAGCTTTCCTTTTTTCTTCTTTTACTGAAAGGATACGTTTAATAATAATTGATTATCCTTTGAGGGAAATGGAGGACACTTTTATAATCTCTGAATATACCATTTCTTTTATAATGTTTTATATCAAATGTCTCTCCCAACACTGCAATGCAAAAGTTTCCATGGACAAGATGATCTTTATTTACGAACAAACTGAAATATACCGTTTCATGTACGCACATAAATCAATAGTACTGTTCGATTCACAAACTGAATATATGAATATATAAATTCATGAAACCTACGAATTGAAATGTAAAATATAGAACTAGATGAAACAATTTTATTAAGGGAAAGCTTTTCTCCGTCATATCGTTGAAAAATAATAATCTCAGACTTTAATAAATCGTGATGATTCTTGAAAAGAATAAAAAAATGTAAATCATGAACTTTCATCCCCGTTTTACGGTTCATTTCATTGTAGTAATTGTATTGCATTGATTACTAAAGAATACTTCATAATATACTTTGCTACGATCTACTACAGTTATATTTTATCGATACGCGTGTACTTTTACTGACATGAAATATTTACTTGTTATCCTACTAGGCTTGAAGTCTTAGATCCTCATTTTATTAACAGCCTGTGCGTTTAACATTTTCAACTTACAAACGAGCCAATCAATCGAGCAATAAATTTTTTTATGTATGTTCACATTCTGTCAATAATTTTTACGACATCTTTCAAAACGTTATGACAGCGATATGATAACGAACTTATTGCTCGACGTATTTCGACAAACCGTTTATTTCTTCTAATTGGTCGAACGAATTGGAAGTGGCCAATCAATTTAGACAATCACGATCAAGCGAAAGCGTGGTCTGCGAGCCAACAACGGCCGCCTAACGTTTCCTTCCTTCGTTCGGCATTTCAGAACGCGGTCACGCGAAAGGACAACAGGAAAAGCGCGCGACAGCTAAGCCATTAATTGCTTTTCCATTTTCCAGCTGACCCTCGTGCTTCTCTGTATCGGACTAGCAACGTCAGATTTATCGCCATATAAACCAAGGGGATGGCGTCCTAATGGTCAACGCTTTAATCCCGCCAACAATCGATTGCATGCGTATTACGGGCCCCCTGGATTACCAGCCTATGAACCTCCGTACTCGACAAGCCAGGCCCCAATTTTCACCACCACTGCCCTGCCGTCACCGATCACCACGACGACGACGACGATGAAAACCACAACGACCCCGCGAACCAGGGAACCAACGACGCCCACTGCCATTCCGCAGGAAGATTTCGATTCGAATCCAGCGCTGGCCATCGCCAATTCCTTCGCCTTTAATCGGCCTGTTTACATTTACAACACCTTCCCGTTCTTACCTGGACAACACAGTTTCGTGTTGGCCAAATGAGCAATTACGGATGAGCATCGTTCGTCGTTTACCGTTCGTTTGCTTTTGTAGAAGAGCTCAGTTGAGAGAAGTAAATTCTGAAATAGTGGAAAATTACTATTTTCATCACTTGGAAATACTTGTCTTCCTGCAACATGAATAATAATACTGAGAGTGGCCATTATTGTGAACTGTAACTAGCTGTAGTGACTATCCTAAATTGACTAATAGTCAATTTTCCCATTGATTCTTCTATTCTTCATCGATCGTCATGTATGACTCAACGAACAAACCTTACCAATTTGTTCCTAATAATTAGAGATAAGAATGTTTTGAGTGATAGTGGTAGGTTGGTGCATATAAAAATATTATTCTCTTATGTTAGACTTTAAATTAGAGGGGATTAAGTAAAGTGTGTTTGTAATTAAAGCGATTACCTGTTTGTTTCGAATTACCTGT